AAAAAGGGTATAAATGGTATTTACATATGTTTTTCAGCTGTTAACCTTTTACTTTTTTACATGCTAAATAGCATGTATTCATGTATAATAGCAAATATATTCATCATGCTATCTAAAAAGATCGCATGATGTGGTATATATACATTGTATATAAATTATATACAATGTACCACAAAAAAAGTTATTATATTGTAATAACTTTTTTTCTCAACTTAGTATAAATTAAATATGCTATCAACTTTATGATTATGTAATATTAAATTTTGTTTGTTTATATATCTTTTTTTAGACAATTTAATGTGTGCACTAATTTGCAGTGTTTAAATTTTAATGTTTGTGAAAAAACTAACTATTATTGTTTACTGAGTTTTAAAACAAAGCTCTATACATTGTTTATAACTTTTTTATAATTTGAATATTATTTGTTTTATATTAAGCTATTTAGGTTATTTCTCAAAATTTTAGTTTGATCGAGTGTGAAATAATAAAGAAAAAAAAAAAGTATTTAAGTATTATTTATTTAATTTACTCATTAATCTTAAAGTAAATAAATCCTTTAATCTAGTGCGTAAAAGAGAAAAACGTCAGCCAGAAAATGTTGCAAAGTTCTATATTCAAAGAAAAATTGATCAAGAAGGTTTTCTCAAAATTAAAACTAATGACTCTATAGGTAAAAAAAGTTTTAAAATCATGCTCTAACATCCTTGTCATAAATAAATAAATCATTTACTAAAATGTGCACCATTTATTATATATGTTATAGGTATATGGTATATTATAAGCAGTAAATCATTAAACCTTGAGGATTTCTTAGTTTTATAAACTTGTTTTAAAAGTTGCCTCAAATAGAAATGTCAAAAGAAAATCAATACAAGGCCTTGTGATTTACTTATCCATTTATTGTTATTTATTATTTTTTCGACTTCAGTCTTTAACTTCAGTTGTCTTAAAATTCTTCTGTTTGGATAAAATATATTATAAAAGTATCTTTAAAAAATCTAAATGGCACCTCAAGGTTTAGTTTCTTGTTTCTTGTTATATATTGTTTTAAATTCCACATTACGATTCTTTAGATATAGAAAACATAAAAATCTTGATGACTACTTTAGGTTTGATTAATTTTTCATATATATTGTTTTAAAAGTCACCTCAAGTTCCTTTTGTTCCACTGAGTTTTACTACAAAAGCGTCAATTAAAAATTCTAAAGGTTGCCTTAAGGTTGGTTCTATTATTGTTTTTTACTGTTTGTTTTGAAAGTCACCTTAAGGTAATTTTGTTTAGATGATTTTTTTTTTACCATGTAAACCTAATCAATAAAAAGTCACCTTAAGATTTTTATGTTTGGCTGAATTATATTTTTAAAATTTTCTCAAAAAGTCTATATGTTATCTTAAGGTTTGTTAGATAGCTCCTTGTTATTTATTTAAGAAAATTATTTAGTTAGTTTTAAAATTCACCTTAAGGTTTTTATGTTTAGCTGAATTATATTTTTAAATATCTTAAAAAAGTCAAAATGTTGCCTTAAGGTTTGGTTAATTGTTCCTTGTTATATATTGTGAATATTTTTTTTTTTTTTTAACTTACTTTAAAAAGTCGCCTTAAGGTTTTTAAGTTTGTCTGAATTATATTCTAAAATATCTTTAAAAGTCTATATATCACCTTAATTATTTCTTCTTATGAATTGTAAAAATTTTTTTTTGTTAATTTTAAAAGTCACCCTAAGGTTTTTTTGTTTGGCTGAATTATATTTAAAAATATCATCAATTATTAAAAAGTCGCCTTATGGTTTTTAAGTTTGTCTGAACTATATTCTAAAATATCTTTATAAGTCTACATGTCACCTTAAAGTTTCCTTCATTATTTCTTGTTATGAATTGTAAAAATTTTTTTTTGTTTATTTTAAAAGTCACCCTATGGTTTTTTTGTTTGGCTGAATTATATTTCAAAATATCTTCAATTATTTTATGTCGCTGTATTTTATTTTTATTTTTTATATTTTGTTCTAAAAGTCCACTTACGGTGGATTCTACTATAAAAATAGGTAAATAAACAAAATCTATTAGTTACCTTAAGGTTTGCTTTATTGTTGCTTTCTATATTTCATTTTAAAAGCAGGGATAATCTTTTTCTGGAAATCCGAATATTTTTTTCAACCTTTGGTTTTTCCGGATATTCAAAACATTTTTAATACGTGCAAGTTGAGGTATATTTTTTTGTAATATATTTGGATTTTAGGCTTTTTCCTTCATCACTCAGAAAAAATATGAAAAGTGTAAAAAATAAAAAAATAAAAACAACGTAGCTAAAAGCGAAATTATAAAAAAAAATATCTCAAGATATCATTTATTAAAGTTAAAAATCAAAAATGGTTAAATTCAGCTAGCAAACTTTACATATTGGTTTTACATTTTTAAAGTGAATTATGACTTATTTAATGTTCAACTATATCAAATTTTTTTTATATAAGGTTTTGTTAAATAATAGGTTTTTCGTTTGATGCAAAACTTTTTTAGACTTTAAGTTTTGGACCATAATGTTGAAACATAATGGTTGCTAAGGGCATTGCTAAGATAAATTATTTGACTTGGATAAATTTATTGAAAAAAAAGTAAAAAAAAAATATAAAAGTTTTATAAAAGTTAATATAAAATATAAAAATTTAAAACTTTTTAAAAATACAGAAATTTCTCTTTAAAAATACATATAAAAAAAATTTGATACATTACAAAAGTTTTGCTTAACATCCATCCACCTTAAGATTTTCTTGTTTGGCTTAGTTATGTTTTAAAAAAATCTGTAAAGGGATAGATGTTGTTATATATTTATTATATTTTAAAAAGATCTTTTAAAATATAATAAAAGAAAAAAGTCTTTATGTTTCCTTAAGCTTTCCTTTATAATCCCTTGTTATATATTGTTTTAAATTTTATGTAAATATTTTTATTAATAAAGTAAGATTTTTTTTAAAAAAATCTTACTTTATTAATAAAAATATTTACATAAAAAGTTTGGTTTATTCTACCATTTTATATATTGATTTAAATTTTACCTTATTCTTTTTTCAACTAGTTTCTTTATCTTTAGAATATATTATTTAAAAAAAAATCTTGATGACACTAAGGTTTACTTTATTCTTCCTTTCATATATATGTTGTTTTAAAAATTTTATTTCTTTTGTTTTACTGAATTTTACTATAAAAATATACAATTAAAAAAATCTATGTTGCCTTAAAATTTGTTTTATTGTTGGTTTCTATTTTTCATTTTAAAGTAACATTAAGTTTTTGTTTGCCTGAATTATATTTTTTAAATATCTTCAAAAAGTCTCTGTCGCCTTACAGATTTTTATATTGTTTCTAGTTATATTTTGTTTTAAATTTTACCTTAAGTTTCTTTAGTTATAAAATAAAATATTTTAAAAGAACTAGATTGCACCTTAAGATTTAGTTTATTCTTCATTTTCGTATATTGTTTTAAGTATTTTATTATTGTTTTAAGTGTTTTATTGTATATTGTTATAAGTCACCTCAAGGTTCTTCTGTTTTACTTAATTTTACTATAAAATTGTTTTGTGTAAAAATCTAGTTGTCATCTTGTTTTTAAAAGTCACCTTAAGGTATTTTTTGATTTCCGGAGTTTTACTTTAAAAATATCTAATAATAAATATGAAGGTTGCCTTAAGGTTTGTTTTATTGTTTCTTTTTAATTTTTATTCTAAAAGTCACCCTAAGGTTTTTTTGTTTGTCTCAATTATATTTTAAAATATCTTCAGAAAGTCTTTATGTTGCCCTTATGTTTGATTTATTGTTCCTTGTTATTTATTGTTTTAAATTTTACCTTTTAAGTCTTTAGTCATAATTTAAAGTATTAAAAAAAGAATCTAGATGACACCTATATTTAGTTTTTTCTTCATTTTTATTTTTATAAATTATTAAAGTCACCTTTGGGCTCTTTTTTTTACTGAGTTTCATTACAAAAATATCTTTAACAAGTATGTAAGACGTCTTAAGGTTTAGTTAATTGTTTCGTATTATTAATTTAATTTTAAGATACTTTAGTTATTGGATAAAATTTATTTAAAAAAATAATTAAATGGCACCCTTAAATATGTTTTATGTTCTTTTTTGTATATTAATTTAAAATTCAATTTAAGGTTTTTTTGTTTGACTTTGTGTTATTGTAAAAATAACTATTAAAAAATGCAGAGGTTGCCTTTAGGTACTGTCTGTAAGTTACGCAACAACAAAAAAATCCACATTAAGTTTTGTCTTTTTGCTACAAAAACAATAGATGTTGGCACTGAATTAAGGTATATTTTATGTTTTAAAATATTATTTGATTCACGTTTCAGTTTACAATATATGGTTTGCATGGTTGTTTTTTTTTTTTTTTTTTTTTTTTTTTTTTTTTTTTTTTTTGAGGTAAAAATTAGTTTTTAGTTAGTAAATTCTTTATCTGTCATAAAATTATACTGTGAAATTACTTTGAATAATTTTTAAGAAATGATTTTTGTGAATAATTGATAAATGATTATTGTGAATGTCTTTTGTTTTTTACTATCATTGTTACATGAATGTCTTTTATTTATCGCTATCGTTGTTATATTTTTATTGTTTGCACTTTGATTGATTGTTTCCCATAATACATAAAATCTATCTTGGTTTATTACGATCATTTTTTGTTCATTATAAGAAGTTCAAGCGTTTTGCTCTGTTACCTTTACCTAAAATATTAAAAAATTATTTATAAGGTTTTAAGGTTTTACAAAAGTGATGTGAAGAGAGGGTGTGAAATCTAAAAATGAATGTTATGACAGTTTTTTGTTTTCATTTATTTAAACTTCATTTATTTAAATATCAGATAAGTTATGGACACTTATTGTATGTTTTGAAATATATATTTATTGTTAAATGTAAGTAACATTTCAAAAATTACTAACATTTACCAGTATTTAAATATTTGTTAAAAGTTAAAAAATTTTAAAGTGCTTTTCCTGTTTGATTAAGTTTTTATGTTAACTGTTCAGTCAATTTGTTGTTTAGAAATTAGATGTTTTGAAAGTTTCATTGGAAAAGCCATTGTTTGATGATTCTGACTCAAAAATTGAATATCAATATCATTCCACTGTTGATAATATTACTCAATCAAGTTTTACAAAATGTGATCTTATTTTTAAAAAAGAAAACGAGTTAGTGTGTTTATCACCAAACAAAGAAACAGAGTTTAATGCTGTACTTTCTAGTTTAATTACAACTCCTATAATTGAAAGATGTGCTTCTTGGGAAGAACTAAAAACTTTTTCAGAAGCTTTCAATAGTGATGTTCCTAAAGAAGACCTAAATTCAACATGTGATGATTTTGGTAAAATTACAAAAAAGTGTTTGAATCTAATTAAAACATGTGGCAAAATTGAGGTTGATACCTCAAAACCAGAAACCAACAAGTACACAAAACCAGCATGGCTTTGTTTATTTTGCAAAGTTCCTCAGACTCGGTTAAAACGTCATATTCTTTTAAAGCATGGTACTGAAATTTCGGTATTGCCTCTTTTAAATATAAACTCTGAAGGTCAGAATCGTTATATAGAAATATTTCGGAAGGAAGCAATTAAAAATCACAATGTTTCACTAGTGGAATCGTGTCAAACATGTTTTATTAGAGAAAGAAAGTCTAAAATACAAAATGATGAACTCCCTCTTATGTGTCTTGGGTGTTAAATTTTTATTCAAGAAAGTATAAAGCTCGTCACCAACTTGTTTGCCAAGGTACAAATACCAATCTAATAATACCTTTTCTATAGCAAGTGAAGATTATGAAAATTATTCAAATGATTTTGTCAACCTTCTAAACACATTACAACTGGATGATATTGGAAATTATATTAAAACTGACAAAATCATTTTAATGATTGGTTCTAGATCTTATAGCGCTCTTAAAAGAAAGAAAGATAAATAAAGAAAAGACTAAAAGATTGGTTCGTTCACGAATGCGGTTAACTGCAAGATTATACTTATCTTTTAAAAGTATCTATAACAATCAGAAAGCTATTAAACTAGATAATATCTTAAATAATGCAGCTGACATGCACTGTCGAGAAGTAATCACCATACTTGGAGACGCTATTAATTCTTTATCATAAAAATCAAATGAAGATTTCAACCATCTTTTATTAAGTGCACAAAAAAGTGGCCTAAAAATCAGTATACTTAATTTTTTAAAGTTAACAGCAAAATTTTTGCTTTTGTTACTTTTTGGTCAAAAATGATGATTTGAAATCTCAGAGAGTAGTTGACTTTTTAAAGGTTTTAAAGCTTTATGAGGATTTATTTGGTAATCTTTATTTTAATCTAAATTATCGTAAGAATATTGATTTGCGGAATCAAATTAGTCTCCCAAATGAAACAGATGTTCAACTGCTTATTGAGGAATGTAACAAAATTATGAATTCTATTGCTGATTTTCAACATCCACGTGAATCATTTGTCACTATCCGATCTGCAACTGCCACATGTTTAACTGTATTTAATGCCAGACGAGGTGGAGAACCAGTGCGGTTATACGTATTTCAGTGGAATGAGGCTTTAAATAAACAAGATCTGCCTGAAGAATTTGATATTGAGCTAATGTTTATCACTTATCAAACAGGAAAAGGTTCGGATCACACAGTTCCTGTTTTTTTCCACCAGAATGCATAAAAGCAATGCGATATCTGACAAACAAAGAAGTTAGGAAAAATGCTGGAAGTACCCAAAAAAGCATGAGCCATGCTTGTGGTTGGCATTGCATAAACAAAATATTAATTCGTTTAGATAAAAAAGGTGCAATTAATGCCACCCAAAATCGACATCGTATTGCTACAAACTTGGCAAAGCTGGAGCTATCAGAAACAGAAAAAACTTTAATTTATAATCACTTTGGACATTCAGAAAGAATTAATCAAAATGTTTACCAAGCTGCTCCTGAATCCTTACAAATAAATACAACAGGCAAAAGACTAAGAGATAGTCAAGAAGTGACCAAGGTTAATCTAACTCCATTCAAGTCAATCATTTCTAATTCAGCTGAACAAGATTATAGCACTATAGGAGAACATGTAAAACCAACAGATGGTGAGTATTGTTGATTGCTTTTTTAAAGTTAAATTTAATATAAGATTACTTTTTAATTTATTTATACTTTTTTTTTTCTTTTTCTTTAACTTATTAGTTGAGTTGATAACCAAAAATGATAGTAAACTGAGTAGTGGTTTAAAAATAAGGCCAGTCCTTAATTTAAAAAAAGGTTCAATTGATTTTTTATTTGTTTACTTTTTTTGTATTCTTTAAGGTAAGGTTTTTAATTATTGTTTTTTTATATTGTTATCATTTTGTTTATAATTATAGAAAGTGAAAGTGGAAGAAAAAAGTTTTTTTCTTCAAAGAAGATCCTAAAAAATCTTTCCATGAAGGTTAGGAATGTTAAAAGCTATATAATTTCTTCATTTCCTAATAATAAAAAAAAATTTATATGACACTTAAGCTACCACAAGCTTAGTTCAAGCTTCAAAGTTTAATATTAAATATGTTTTCCAAACTTAAGTAAAGTGATAGTAACCTGTATTTTTAATTTATATTTAAATTTTAATGAAAATTTCAAGCTAGAAAAGTTGTTTGCAAAACAGGTTAAAAAATTAGAGTTTGAAATCACAAAATAAATTTAGCCTTATTAAATAAAATAGCTCCAAAATAGCATTGTTTTAACATGTTTAAAACGTTAAAAAATTATTTTTGATGTTTTTACTAAATAATAAGTTTTTAGTTTTGTTTTGTTTATGCTAAAGCCATTTTGAGTACATTTGATATGCCATAATTTTATTATTATTATTATCTCAGGTTAAATACTGATTGCCGATACTGTCCTCTTTTATGTTTTTTAATTTCATTTTTTTGGATTGTATAATTTGTCTCTGAAGGATGTTAATAATTTCTATTTAGTTGATTTTATAAAGATATCTGGAAATGATAGTAAAGTGGATGGTGAAATAAAGATTAAGCAAGTGCTAACACTTGAAAAAGGTTTAATTGCTTATATTGTGTTTTTTACCTTTTTAAAATGCATTTATTAAGTTAGTATTCCCTATTTTAAAGTAAAGTAGATAAAATCATTGGAATTAAAATAATACTTTTTTATTTCAACCTTGAACTATGTTTAAAGAAAATAAAAATATCCTAATTTTAACTTAAGGTTTGGTAAATCATTACACTGAGGTCGTCCCACTATGTAATGACGTCACGCTTTAGGAGAGGGTTAATGGCTTTGTGATGACTAATACGTAACTTGTTACTCTTGTGTCACGGTATTGTGACATGGAAAGGAAGGGGTCAAAAACAGTCAAAAATGGCGTGACGTAATTTATGGACAAGCCCACTGGCAAACACTAGTCAAAGGCTTTCTCAAACATTTTAAACGTTTTTAATTCATTTTGAAGAGTTTAATTTTTTTAACTCTATTTAAGTATTATAATTCTTTTAAATAATAACGGCATTTTAACTTTTTTGAAAGTAAATAATTAGATGTCATAAATAAATTGATAGTTTTGAAACTGCATATGTTGTTGCAATTGTCAATAATTTTTGACGTACATAAGTATTTGTATAATTTTACTACGAACCTTTATATATTCACTTCTAAATATTAATGTCCTTTTCCCCTTTTCCATCACTTCTAAATATTCATGTCTTTTCCCCTTAATTAAAATGTCTTTACTAATTTTATTTTATTCAGAAAAGATGATCAACAAAAAGAAAAATTTAACAGTTAAAAAAAAGTCATGGAATAAGTCTAGTAAAGTTGCGTTTAACAAAGAATTTGCCTTTCACCTTAAAAATAATCGTGGATATCCAGGTATTTCATCAGTTTTACTATTATGAAGTCTTTTTATTGCTTTTAATGCGGTTTTCAGTTTACGCCCAGTACAAGTGTACACATTAAAACCATAAAAAAACTAGTTACGCTGTTCTTTTCAACGTGTTAGTGTTATATACAAAAACATATTTATAGAAAAGTTAATGCATAAACAGTAAAATCTTTAAAGTTTTAACTGTTTATATGTTAAAAAGGCCTGTAATTCGGCTATGAAAAAATTAGATTCACTTGTTGAGATTTCGTTTATTACTATTTTTTTCAAAAATTAATAGCTTTATCGTTTTCTTTTTTTAGGCCGTAAAGAA